CTGTTCATCACAATGTAGTGTTCATTCATATCCAGCGAGACGACAACATAGGGTTCATTTTGAATCCACGTAGTGTTCATTCTAAGACATTGTAGGGTTGATTTTCACACATTTGTTCATTATAAACGTAGTACTCATTCTGAAAGAACCTAGTACTCATTCACAGTCTGCTCAGTGCAGTGTTCATTCTGAATTAAGGTGGTGCTCATTCTGATGCATGTCATCTGACCGAAAGTGTCATCTGATTGAAAGATGTCATCTGACTAGAGTCAATCCCATATATATATATGTATGTATGTATGTATGTGTGAGTATATATATAGGGGCTGGTTCTCGTGAGAATGCACCTTGTGGAGAGAAATGAGAATAAAAAGTAGCCGTTGGATCTGATGCATCGTGCGGCTCAGATTGCATCTTGCGCTCAGATTTTGAGATAGTGCATTTTCAAAGGATTTTGGTGCATTTCGACATGATGCATTTTCAAACCATTTTGGTGCACCTTATTTTGATGCAATTCTGACCTTTAGATCTCACAATCTAAAGCACTAGATTCATTCTCATTTCTCTCATAAGATCGCATTCTCACCAGAACATATATATATAGGGATTGACTCGAGTGAGATGACACCTTACGGTAAGATGACATGCTTCGGTCAGATGACACAAAGCTCACCACTGGTCACTGCAAAGCTCACCAATGCACAATGCAAAGCTCATCTAGAAATAAAGCAAAGCTCACCACTTTGAACCCCAAAACTCACCTTTTTTTAAAATTTTAAAAATTAAAAAATTATTTAAAAATAAAATAACAACACCGGTCAACGGCGACGGAGCAACAGCGGTGGCCGGAGTCCGGCGGCGGAGACCAGCAGTGGCTGCCGGATTCCGGCGACCGGCGGCAGCGACGACCGGCATCCGGCGGTGGATGCCGGAGTCCGGCGGCGGCGGGCGGCGACGGCAAACGGCGGTCAATGTTGCCGGTCAACAGTCAAAGTCCAGTCAGCACCCCTTCTTTTGATTTTATTTTTTCAAAAAAAATTTAAAGTGTAGAAAAAATATGGTGAGCTTTGCCTTACAGTTTGGTGAGCTTTGTAGTTGTCTTTGGTGAGCTTTGCAGTAGACAGTGGTGAGCTTTGTGTCATCTAACTGAAGCATGTCATCTTACCGTAAGGTGTTATCTCACTGGAGTCAATCCCATATATATATATATATATATATATATATATATATTGTTAGAGTGCATCCCACATCGGAAGTGCAAGAATAAAATAAATGGTATATAAGCTCTTGAGTTGAACTAACTAATCGATTAGATTCAATCTTTTGATATGGTTCAACCCAAGTGTCTTATTGCCCAATCCAGTTATTACACACCCATCCTAAATTTTATCATGGTATCAGAGCAGGTTTTGGCCCACCTCGTTTGTCAAGGTGCCCGTCTAGATGTTCATTCCTAGCGGCCTGTTTGTCTTTCGCCCAGTTGAGTATGTACCCAATGGCCTGTAAACACGATTGCTCGTCTAGAAGTCCATACCCAGTGGCTCGTGGTCCTTTAGGTATTGGCGCTCTAAAAAAATCAAGGGAATGAGAGTTCATTTGCAAGTGGTCAACCGGTTAGATTCAAAATGGCCCAGTTGTCCACTTGAGGGGGAGTGTTAGAGTGCATCCCACATCGGAAGTGCAAGAGTAAAATAATCGGTATATAAGCTCTTGAGTTGAACTAACTAATCGATTGGATTCAATCTTTTAATATGGTTCAACCCAAGTGTCTTATTGCCCAATCCAGTTATTCCACACCCATCCTAAATTTTATCATATATATATATATATATATATATATATATATAATTCGGGGGAAGTAGGGGAAGGGGTAGACCTAGGAAGAATTAGAAGGAGGTGATTAGGTAGGATTTAGGACTTTTCACCCAGGATATGGCCTTAGATAGGAACCTTTGGAGAACTAAGATTAGAGTAGCTGGATAGGAACTCAGTGCTGTAGAGGTTGTTTTGTAGTGTGTTGTGTTTGATTGAAATCTTTTGCTATTGCTTGCAGGACTTTCATTTCATTGTACTTGGTGCTTTATCCGTGTTATACTGTGTTCCCTTCCATATTTTTGTGCAGGTTGAGCCGGGGGTCTCTTGGAAACAGCTTCCCTACTTCCGAGTAGGGGCAAGGTCTACGTACACACACCCTCCCCAGACCCTACTGTAGTGGGATTCAACTGGGTTGTTGTTGTTGTTGTTGTTGTGTGTGTGTGTGTGTCTATATATATATATATATATATATATATATATATATATATGAATTTCCAAATTTCTCAATTGGGTCAAATTATAATTATCACACTGACACCTAGTTAGTGACTAGGCGTCCAGTCCAATTGGTGATCACGCCATGACTACACGGCTCGCCAGATGAAGCTCGGTGTCACTTTGGTGACGACTTGGTGCCGCTTGGACGCGCATCGGACGACTTGCTCACTATCGGAGATGAAAGCTGTTACTGATTGCAGATCTGAACATCTGAATCATCACTTCCACCGATCGACATCACTCACGGAGACAAAGACAGGTCAGCGTCAAAGGGTTGCTGCAAGAGTTCATGTGTTTTGCAATGAAGCTTCTCAGTTTTATATTACTCCGCAACTTTTTTTGTTTGAACTTGGGATATACAGTAGTCTGAATTTTGTTTTAATACAAAATAAACACATTGTCATCTTTACAAGAAACCCATTAGTTTGTTCTCATACTTGTAAATTGCATTAATTTTACTCAAGATTTCTGATTTACTACTAATCTATTATTAATCACTTTTACAATATTACATAGTACTACTACTGTCGAACTCAAAGATTGTGAGTTTTGTATACTTCAAATTTGTTCAGCACACTTATTTATTCAGCAACAGCTTTGTGAGTTTTGTATACTTCAAATTTGTTCAGCACAAAGTACTATTTAAGGTGCTATGGATTTTAGGTAAATTTCAGCTGTGTGATTTCTTAAATTATGTTCTTTGAGTAACGCTTCTTTTAAGCTTTAGTGACTTTAAACTTTTAAAGTTCATGAGTTAGAATATATTTTATGATATATTTATATGAAGAGTTAAATGCACAAATAGTTTTTGTGGTCTTTCATAAGTACGTAAACTATCCCTGTACTATTAAAAGTTGCAAAATAGTCAATGTGGTCAAAGAACTGATGCATAATTAGTACCTTCTTTAAGGAAAATGTAAAGCACACAAAACATAGGCGTACTGTGTGAAAATGTGAAGCATGAAAAAAAAAAAAGAAGTGTATCTCATGAAATTGCCCTCGTCTTCATGGTTAAAGGCAATGAATGGTCTTTTTCTAGCTCTTTTCTCACATGATTTTATCTTAGAATAAAACTACTTGAAAAATAAAATAATGTCGAGCTCACACAGGAGACTATTAGGGGTGAACCAGGGGTCTTATCAAGGTTGCTAATTTTGTGGTGAATTTGTGGAGGAAATGAACACGGAAGTATATGGGGCGAGATATGGGAGGTGTTTTTGGAGTTCTTTTTGGTGTTTTTTTATGAAGAAAAAGAAGAGGTTTAGGAAGAGTATATGGGGAGGTATGAAATGGAAGGAAATCAGGGATGGATAAACCAAGTTGGTATTTAAGAGATATTGCACACTCTTATCCTAACTTGGGGTTTGAATCTAGAATTTAATTAAGATATGACACACTTAATCAAATATCTAGAACCTAAAACTCACACTTAAGATAACCACTCTTAAGATATAGAATTAGAAATTTGGCTAAAACAGCATCACACTATTTTATAAATACTCAAAGATTAAAAGGGAGTTTTAATATTCAAGGTTGTGTTTACAATGTCCATAGGGCCTGATTATATAGGGAGAGGGGAAGGGGAAAATACATAATACATTGAATGTGAACATGAGGAAGCTTCCTAGCAACATCCACTTCCAAAGCATGGGGTAACCTTCATTTAATCTTGTCTCCAAAGTGGAATAAAATCAGGAATGGGCTGGGGTTGTGGGGTTTTGGGTTTTAGGTTTGTAGTGGTTGTTTCCTGGTTTTTGTGGATATTATTTGGGTAAAAATGGGGGGGGNTTTGGCTAATAAAAGGGGACAGGGCTGGGTAATATTAGGGGTGGTTTTGGACATATGGGTTTGGGTTATTTGTGAGGGTCATGGGCAGGAATGAGTGGCTAGTGGTGGGTTTTGGCTCTTTGTGGGTGTTTATGTTGGGATTGTGAAGTGTATTTTGGCCAGGGGATGAATGGAATAAAGGTAGGGTTTTATTTGTTTAATAAAAGGCTTAAAAGAAGGAAAATAACAACAAACAGTTTTGGTTTGCACACTCTTATTTTCGGCCAGGGGCTAAAATAAGAGTAATAAAAACTTTATTTTGAAATGAAATTAATGGCAAGGAGTTTTGGATATTTTGGGTTGGGTTGGACGGAGTGGGAGTCGGCATGTGGAACCCTTGGGTCCAAAGTTATTCTGGCCTCTTGGGTTGAAGGACTCGGAATTCTCACTAAAAAGGATCATAATGTTTGAACGTAAGTCCTCTGGTTTTTGCGAGGGTGTAGGTCATGGGGGAGGGTATGATAGGGCCAGGCCCAGATATAACATCCTCCAGGTCTTCAAAAGAGTTTGTCCTAAAACTCGGAAGATCTTCAAAATCCTCGTACGGGCTAAGATCTCTTCGATGAAATGTGGCAGCAACTTTTAGACCTCGTGTAAGGTCGACCACATAGGAGTTTTTGTGAACCCTTGCCAACACTTCAAACGGGCCATCGTCTTGGGGTTGTAGCTTTGATTTGCGTTTATTGAATAAACGTGCCTTATGAATGTGAACCCACACTAGGTCACCGGGCTGAATGGACCATTTCGAGTCACGATTCTTCTCAATCCTCTCTTCATACGGGACCTACAAAAACTCAACACGTTTGGTACAAGGTACCGTTAATGAAGATGGGTCTCCAGCGGATGTTTCCGCGTCAGGAGTGATGACTTCCTCATGGGTCTTTTCATCTTGCTCTTCTTCTTTTATCTGTGTAACCCAAAACGGGTTATCCTCTGCGTCCTCAAACATTTCTTCATCCTCTTTGACACGTTCTTCATCCCAAATGGGATCATAGTCCTCGTCATCATATTTGTCCCAAACATTCTTTGGGGAAGTGGGCTGCATTGTTTCGGTAGTTTGAGAGGAGGGTTGTTCGCGCTTAGAAAATTGGGGAGCAAAAGTGGGGGTTTGAACCATGAAGATAGATGACTCTTCAAGGGTACTCTTGGGGGCCTGTGGTTGGCTTAAAGACATAACGTTGGGAACGGATTGGGGTGAGGGCGTCGGACCGGAGTTGGGGGTGTGATGAGGGGTAAAGGCATTGTTTTAGATGGTTTTTCAAGTGGGGGTGTAGGGGTAGGTGTGGGAATGGTTACGGCCGTTTGAGGGGGAATTATAGGCATTGTTGTAGGCAAGTTTGGAGGCAGGGGTATGAAGAGGGTTTTGGAGCTTGTTTGGACAGTGGCCAGGGATGAAATATAAATGGGTTTTGAGGTATTTTGGGGCAGGGGTGTGGTAAGGAGTGTTGGGTTAGTTTGGACAGTGGCTAAGAAAGGTAAAGAGGTTGTTTGGGTAGGAGTTTTGGGTAGGTGTGAGGGAGTTGGGTGAGAGATGTTTTGGACAGCATGTATGCAAGGTAAAGAGGGAACTTTAGAGGGAGTTTGAGTGTTGAAGATGGTGGTGGCTTCGGGAACGATTTGGGTAGCGTGGGAATTCTGGTGGAGATGATCTTTGGAAGAAAATCTCTTAATTAAAAGTTTTCTTAACTTTTCCCAAGTTTTCACCTTCGCTTTTCCTTGGAGCTTTCGTTTTGAAGCAACGCTAGCCCACCAAGTAGAGGCATGTGTTTGAAACTTTGCCACAACTAGCTTTAGCTTGACCTTCTTGTCTTCGGGCACGTCTTTGAGTGTAAAGACGTCTTCAACTTTTGCTAGCCACTTTGAGAACTTCTCCAGGTCGTTTCTTCCCTCAAACGTGGGAATCTCCACTGAATTAGTGAGCTCCTTGATTTGTTTCATCACAAGCTCAACTTCCTTCTTTAGTGTCTCTTGGGCAGCAGCTAATTCCCCTTGAAACATGTTTTGAGAAGAGCTTGGCATGGTGGATATATTGTTTGACGAGTATATGGTTGACAAAAGAGATGAGGGGGGCGTGTAAAGATGATCCCTTAGGGATGTTCAACACAAAGCTTTGATACCAGATGTTAGGGGTGAACCAGGGGTCTTATCAAGTTGCTAATTTTGTGGTGAATTTGTGGAGGAAATGAACACGGAAGTATATGGGGCGAGATATGGGAGGTGTTTTTGGAGTTCTTTTTGGTGTTTTTTTATGAAGAAAAAGAAGAGGTTTAGGAAGAGTATATGGGGAGGTATGAAATGGAAGGAAATCAGGGATGGATAAACCAAGTTGGTATTTAAGAGATATTGCACACTCTTATCCTAACTTGGGGTTTGAATCTAGAATT